TCTCGCTCTCTCCTCCTCAGGCGTCTGTGTGAACTCCCCAGAAGTTGGGAACGACGTTGAGCCAAGACTCGGTGTGAGTGATTGTGTCACTCACTCACTCACTGAAACACTCGCTCACACTCACTCACACTCACTACCCTCATCAGTACCCTCACTCACTCACTAAAACACTCGCTTACACACACACTCACTACCCTCATCAGTACCCTCACTCACTCACTGAAACACTCGCTTACACTCACTCACACTCACTACCCTCATCAGTACCCTCAATCACTCACTGAAACACTCGCTTACACTCACTCGTACTCACTACCCTCATCAGTACCCTCACTCACTCACTGAAACACTCGCTTCCACTCACTCACACTCACTACCCTCATCAGTACCCTCACTCACTCACTGAAACACTCGCTTACACTCACTCACACTCACTACCCTCATCAGTAGCCTCACTCACTCACTGAAACACTCGCTTGCACTCACTCACACTCACTACCCTCATCAGTACCCTCACTCACTCACTCAAACACTCGCTTGCACTCACTCACACTCACTACCCTCATCAGTACCCTCACTCACTCACTGAAACACTCGCTTACACTCATACTCACTACCCTCGTCAGTACCCTCACTCAGTCACTGAAACACTCGCTTACACTAACTCGTACTCACTACCCTCATCAGTACCCTCACTCAGTCACTGAAACACTCGCTTACACTCACACTCACTACCCTCATCAGTACCCTCACTCACTCACTGAAACACTCGCTTACACTCACTCACACTCACTACCCTCATCAGTACCCTCACTCACTCACTGAAACACTCGCTTACACTCATACTCACTACCCTCGTCAGTACCCTCACTCAGTCACTGAAACACTCGCTTACACTCACTCACACTCACTACCCTCATCAGTACCCTCACTCACTCACTGAAACACTCGCTTACACTCATACTCACTACCCTCGTCAGTACCCTCACTCAGTCACTGAAACACTCGCTTACACTCACTCGTACTCACTACCCTCATCAGTACCCTCACTCACTCGCCACCCTCACTATTCTCACTCACTACCCTACTACTACCCTGGCCCACGTAGTTCGTGAAGCCTTCCATGGCTGTACCGGAGGAATCTCCATCTTCTTGGTTCTTTCGGTAAAGTCACGTTTTTTTTAAATCCTTTATATTAAGTTCGCTTGCTTGCTTGCTTAGGACCGTGCAAATCTTTCGCTCGTTTTTTAACCCACTTCCCGTGATCCAATCGAGCTGACATTTTGCACACAGACTCGTTGTGCGTGACAATTAATGTTCGTGAAATTTTTTTTCCAAAATGTTACACTTTTTAGGGAAAACAAATTAAATATTTAATTACCGATTGCTTAATGGTGCAATGCAATCATCTAACCCATAGGTGGCAGCCATCTCAAGCCAGAGGACGAGAGGACTCTAGCCGCCACGCATATAAAGGATTTGTAGTGAAAAACTTTGTTTTTACGGGTTATACTTATTATTTTATTATTTCCCTTCTACGTGACTTTACCGAAAGAACCAACAAGATGAATCCCTGCAGTCACGAAAGCTTTAAATCGGAATCTCCATCTGTAACAGATCAAGTGGGAGGCTGATCGATGCCCGGGTGCGGTCAAGGGATGGCTCCCTATTGCTCAATGAAGTTATGTATTCCGATGATCTGGTAATTTTCGATTTAAAGCTTTCGTGACTGCAGGGATTCATCTTCTTGGTTCTTTCGGTAAAGTCATCACGTAGAAGGGAAGTAATAAAATAATAAAAACAAAACAAAATAAAATAATTCTCACGACGTTTGGGCCACAACGCAAGCAGCCGTCCTCAGGTGACTTTACCGAAAGAACCAAGAAGATGGATCTGGTAATTGCTGCTCACTCAGAGGAGGAGTTGGAGGCACTGCTGCTGAGACTGGAGCTTGCCACTAAGAGGTGGGGCTTTACCATGAGACCCACCAAAACTAAGCACCTGCCTGGGTATTTTGTGCCATCAGACACTCCACCCCCACAACTCTCAATCGGTGATGGGGCAGTTGTGGAGAGAGTGGAGAGTTTTCCAATACCTGGGCAGTGTGCTCATGACCAGCTCCAGTTTGACAGCAGAGGTCTCACTCCGAATCAGTCGAGCGGCAATATCTTTTCATCGGCTGCGTAACGCTGCTGTGTGGAAGCTACCTGGTCTGTCGCTTGACACCAAAACTAAGCACCTGCCTTGGTATTTTATGCCATCAAACAATCCACCCCCTCAACTCCCCGTTGGTGATGGGGCAGTTGTGGAGAATTTTCCACACCTGGGCGGTGCGATCATGACCACCTCCGCTGTGACAGCAGACGTCTCGCTCTGAATCGTTCGAGCTGAATTTTAGTTTTCAACGGCTGCATAAATAACACCGTGCGGACGCTGCCTAGTCTGTCGCCCCACACAAAGTTTCGAGTGTTCTCGACCACGTTCATTCCCTCCCTTCGCAGTGCTTGTGAAACGCTGATGGTGGTTATACTGATGGTGGTTATACTGATGGCGGTTATACTGATGGTGGTTGACGCTGATGGCGGTTGACGCTGATGGTGGTTATACTGATGGTGGTTGACGCTGATGGCGGTTGACGCTGATGGTGGTTATACTGATGGTGGTTATACTGATGGCGGTTGACGCTGATGGTGGTTATACTGATGGCGGTTATACTGATGGTGGTTATACTGATGGTGGTTATACTGATGGTGGTTATACTGATGGTGGTTATACCGATGGTGGTTATACTGATGGTGGTTATACTGATGGCGGTTATACTGATGGTGGTTATACTGATGGTGGTTGACGCTGATGGCGGTTATACTGATGGTGGTTATACTGATGGTGGTTGACGCTGATGGCGGTTGACGCCGATGGCGGTGACGGTTGTGACGTTCCAGGTTTGCGCCCCTGCACTGCCGACCGTCGCTCGGGCAGGAAGAAGCTCAACCGGAGAAGCTTCGATGGAGAGAGGGGCAAGCGGAGAGCCAGGGGGGAGTAGAGGTCAAGGCAGAGAGGGGCCTCGACATTTGCAAGAAGGGAGAGACAAGGGACCGCGCGACGCGCCGGGGGCAGAGCGTGCGGTGCGCGCCGATGGCGGGAGAGATCAGCAGAGGCAGGACGCGGAGAGGGCCAGGTGGGACAGAGAGGGGGCAAGATGCAGAACCATGAGAGTGGTGGGTCAGGCAGTAGATCGGGACAGATTTGAAAGGGGGAGACAGGCCGTGGTGGCTAGAGAGAGAGACGTCGAAAGCAGAACGAGAGACAGCGAGGGGAGGGAGGCAGGGGGGAGAGGCAGGGAGGGGAGGGAGGCAGGGGGGAGAGGCAGGGATGCCGGGGGAGGGATGGAGGGAGGCCTGAGAGATCAGATGGCGATAGACCTAGCCGGCGCTGCTGAGACACTAGCACGGGTTTTGTCGTTCAAACCGCGTGGGGGTGGAAGTGAGGGAGCAGGAGGGTGGAAATAGAGACCCAGAGATGAACATCGTCACCCAGACACTCACTCACCCACTCACTAACTCACCCAGACACTCACTCACCCACTCGCTAACTCACCCAGACACTCACTCACCCACTCACTAACTCACCCAGACACTCACTCACCCACTCACTAACTCACCCAGCCATTCACCCACACACTCACTGCCCCACTCACCCCCACACCCACTTACTCACTGACCCACTCACTCACTCACTCACTAACTCACCCGCTTACTCACTCACCCACTCACTCCACCCACCCACTCATCGATTCACTCACCCAGCCATTCACACCCACACTCACCTCCCCACTCACCCCCACACTTACTCACTTACTCACTGACCCACTCACTCACCCACCCACTAACTCACCCGCTTACTCACCCACTCACTCACCCAGACACTCACCCACTCACTCCTCCACCCACCCACTCATCGATTCACTCACCCAGCCATTCACACACACACTCACCCACTCACTCACCCCCACACTTACCCACTTACTCACTGACCCACTCACTCACCCACTCACTAACTCACCCGCTTACTCACCCACTCACTCCTCCACCCACCCACTCATCGAGTCACTCACCCAGCCATTCACCCAAACCCTCACCTCCCCACTCACCCCCACACCTACCCACTTACTCACTGACCCACTCACCCACCCACTAACTCACCCGCTTACTCACCCACTCACTCCTCCACCCACCCACTCATCGATTCACTCACCCAGCCATTCACCCACACACCTCCCCACTCACCCCCACACCTACCCACTTACTCACTGACCCACTCACTAACTCACCCACTTACTCACCCACTCCTCCACCCACCCACTCATCGATTCACTCACCCAGCCATTCACCCACTCACTCACCCACTCACTCACCCCCCCACTTACTCACTGACCCACTCACTCACCCACTAACTCACCCGCTTACTCACCCATTCACTCCTCCACCCACCCACTCATCGATTCACTCACCCAGCCATTCACCCACTCACCCCCACACTTACCCACTTACTCACTGACCCACTCACTCACTCACCCACTAACTCACCCAGACACTCACTCACCCACTCACTCCTCCACCCACCCACTCATCGATTCACTCACCCAGCCATTCACACACACACTCACCCACTCACTCACCCCCACACTTACCCACTTACTCACTGACCCACTCACTCACCCACTCACTAACTCACCCAGACACTCACTCACCCACTCACTCCTCCACCCACCCACTCATCGATTCACTCACCCAGACACTCACCCACTCACTCACCCACTCACTCACCCCCACACCTACCCACTTACTCACTGACCCACTCACTCACTCACTCACCCACTAACTCACCCGCTTACTCACCCATTCTCTCCTCCACCCACCCACTCATCGATTCACTCACCCAGCCATTCACCCACACACTCACCCACTCACTCACCCCCACACCTACCCACTTACTCACTGACCCACTCACTCACCCACTCACTAACTCACCCAGACACTCACCCACTCCTCCACCCACCCACTCATCGATTCACTCACACAGCCATTCACCCACACACTCACCCACTCACTCACCCCCACACTTACCCACTTACTCACTGACCCACTCACTCACCCACTCACTAACCCACCCAGACACTCACTCACCCACTCACTCACCCACTCACTAACTCACCCAGACACTCACTCACCCACTCACTCCTCCACCCACCCACTCATCGATTCACTCACACAGCCATTCACCCACACACCTCCCCACTCACCCCCACACCTACCCACTTACTCACTGACCCACTCACTCATTCACTAACTCACCCAGACACTCACTCACCCACTCACTTCTCTACCCACCCACTCATCGATTCACTCACCCACTCACTCACCCACTTACTCACTGACCCACTCACCCACTCACTAACTCACCCGCTTACTCACCCACTCACTCCTCCACCCACCCACTCATCGATTCACTCACCCAGCCATTCACCCACACACTCACCCACTCACTCACCCACTCACCCCCAGACCTACCCACTTACTCACTGACTCGCTCACTCACCCACTCACTCACTCACCCGCTCACTCACTCACTCACTCTACCCACCCACTCATCGATTCACTCACCCAGCCATTCACCCACTCACTCACCTCCCCACTCACTCCCACACCTACCCACTTACTCACTGACCCACTCACTCACGCACTCACCCACTCACTCCTCTACCCACTCACTGACTCACCCAGACACTCACCCACTCACGCACTCACCCACTCACTCCTCTACCCACTCACTGACTCACCCAGACACTCACCCACTCACTAACTCACCCAGACACTCACTCACCCACTCACTAACTCACCCAGACACTCACTCACCCACTCACTAACTCACCCAGACACTCACCCACTCACTAACTCACCCAGACACTCACTCACCCACTCACTAACTCACCCAGACACTCACCCACCCACTCACTAACTCACCCAGACACTCACCCACCCACTCACTAACTCACCCAGACACTCACCCACTCACTAACTCACCCAGACACTCACCCACTCACTAACTCACCCAGACACTCACTTACCCACTCACTAACTCACCCAGACACTCACTCACTCCTCCACCCAGACACTCACTCACCCACTCACTAACTCACCCGCTTACTCACCCACTAACTCACCCGCTCACTAACTCACCCAGACACTCACTCACCCACTCACTCCTCCACCCACCCACTCATCGATTCACTCACCCACCCACTCACCCCCACACTTACCCACTTACTCACTGACCCACTCACTCACTCACTAACTCACCCGCTTACTCACCCACTCACTCACCCACTCACTAACTCACCCAGACACTCACTCACCCACTCACTCCTCCACCCACCCACTCATCGATTCACTCACCCAGCCATTCACCCACACACTCACCCACTCACTCACCCCCACACTTACCCACTTACTCACTGACCCACTCACTCACCCACTCACTAACTCACCCGCTTACTCACCCACTCACTCCTCCACCCACTCATTGATTCACACACACAGCCATTCACCCACACACTCACCCACTCACTCACCCCCACACTTACCCACTTACTCACTGACCCACTCACCCATTCACTAACTCACCCGCTTACTCACCCATTCACTCCTCCACCCACCCACTCATCGATTCACACACACAGCCATTCACCCACACACTCACCCACTCACTCACCCCCACACTTACCCACTCACTCACTGACCCACTCACTCACTCACCCACTAACTCACCCAGACACTCACTCACCCACTCACTCCTCCACCCACCCACTCATCGATTCACTCACCCAGCCATTCACACACACACTCACCCACTCACTCACCTCAACACTTACCCACTTACTCACTGACCCACTCACCCAGACACTCACTCACCCCCACACTTACCCACTTACTTACTGAGCCACTCACTCACCCACTCACTAACTCACCCAGACACTCACCCACTCACTCCTCCACCCACCCACTCATCGATTCACTCACCCAGCCAATCACACACTCACTCACCCCCACACTTACCCACTTACTCATTGACCCACTCACTCACTCACTAACTCACCCGCTTACTCACCCACTGACTCACCCCCACACCTACCCACTTACTCACTGACCCACTCACTCACCCACTCACTAACTCACCCGCTTACTCACTGACGCACTCACTCACCCACCCACTAACTCACCCAGACACTCACTCACCCACTCACTCCTCCACCCACCCACTCATCGATTCACTCACCCAGCCATTCACCCACTCACTCACCCACTCACTCACCCCCCCACTTACTCACTGACCCACTCACTCACCCACTCACTAACTCACCCGCTTACTCACCCACTCACCCCCACACTTACCCACTCACTCACCCACTCACTCACCCCCACACTTACCCACTTACTCACTGACCCACTCACCCACTCACTAACTCACCCGCTTACTCACCCGCTCACTCACTCACCCACTTACTCACTGACCCACACACTCACCCACTCACTCACCCCCCCACTTACTCACTGACCCACTCACTCACCCACTCACCCGCTTACTCACCCGCTCACTCACCCGCTCACTCACCCGCTCACTCATTCACCCACTAACTCACCCGCTTACTCACCCGCTCACTCACTCACCCACTCATTCATTTTCCCCCCAAAGATGTTCAGCGAGTTACTCCGACAATCTATGCAACATTCTCGCTACAACAGACGATGATGTGGGCTAGCAGCACCTGACAACGGCACATTGAGCAAAACGTTGGACACCACGTTTGATAGAATCGGGTGACATTGTTCATTACTGTGCCAAGGCGGGATTCGAAGCGGTCTCAATACGGGGCTCACGAGTGGCTGCGTTTGTTACTCCGTGGCCGCTTGTGACAGCCAAACAGCGGAATAAAACCCATTGCATTTAGAGGATCTTGTCCCGTGTAATGCCTTGAATGTTGCACTGTGTCCATGTATATACAGAACAGAACAAACATACATTCATCTTCTTGGTTCTACACTATGGGAACCTCATTTGCCAGTAAAAATATGAGAATTGGTTCTTTACCCTTCTATCTGGCAACAAAACTGACACCTTTTTACAAGGAGTCATGTTTGCATAGACCGCAATACCTGCAGTCATAAATACAAACAAAAGAAATAACTCTGATAATGTGCACTGTCCTTGAAGTTGATTGGTCCACACCCGAGA